GATCAGAGCCGTTGCAACAATTGTTCAGTGTGAGGGGGGTTGGTGGGAGCAGGGGGAGCTTAGTTGGTTAGGGTTTCTCTCTGCAAGGAAGATGAGCAATAGCGTACTTCAGAAATCAAACAGCATCATACACATGAGACCAGATGGTCGTGAGCTCGGACCAATAGCAGAATTGCATCACGAGTTTCACCAAATAGGAGCACAGCAAAAGCTCATAATTGACAATGCTGGAGTAGTCTCATCATCATCAACGAAGAACCAATGTTGATATCCTATCTGGCGCTCAGCGCCTAGACTACAGATGGCAGATCCTATCTAGCCTACTCTACGATGCCGCTGATGACGTCAACAGCTTCCCGAAGTACGAGCAGATCTCAGACAATGCCGTACGCTTCAAGCACCAGGTATGTCTCTCGTATCACTCACAACCTCGTTCCCCAACTCACAGATGCCACATGCACCCCCAAGGACCACCATGTGCCCCATCCAGCATACATCAGCGCAGCTCGGCTATGGCTGCCTGCTCCTTCCAGCTCGCCCGTAAGCGCGTGAGCCTGGCCAGCGTTAGCGCAGCAGCGCTTACGCAGCATGCAGCCAGTGCCCGAATGTCCAATGCGTAGGCAGGCCCTTCTCTATATCGAAGTGGCCTGCTGCTGCGTGCGGTAATGCGGTACTGGGTCCTGGCCCAGAAGCTTCCGGTAGGCCACACGAGGCTGAGCCTCAGTCCGAAGTAAACAGGCCCAGGGCCTGTGGTGGTTACCAGCACCCAACTGCCCTCAGCCTTTGTTCGGTCCACTTTGTGTATCCGCCCTAGGGCCTGCCTCAGTTACATGCAATGAAAGGCAGCCTGGGCCTGGGGGCTTCCAACCAACTGGCGCTGCGCAACTGCCTGAATTTCCCCAGTTGGGTGGTGACCCCAAAATGGCCTGTAGGCCTCGGTCGTGCCTGCCTTCACTTAGGGCGGCCGACTGTGGAAAATAGGCCCTGTAGGGCATATCAAGGCCCTGTGCCTTTGCATTCCCTCCTGCATACTTCGATAGTCCTCTGAGAAGTTCAGTCTTTGATAATCTGGCGTTTTCCCTTCTGCAGAGATTTCTCATAGTCAGCGACAACCTGTGGAGCGGTCTGCATCAGTTCCTCCCGTGTGAACCATCTATCCTCCTTTGGATCAGTGTGATGTCTGAACTGAACTCGGTACTGCATCTTCGGTTTTGGAGGACGTCCTCTGCCTGTCAGTCTTGGACATCCCTGTGATCAACAATGTCGTCAATCCGACCTCTCCGTCCATGGTTGGGGGCACCATAGAGCGACGAGAGGGAAACTGGTCAGTTTCCTTGGATGGTGCAAGCTTAGAGGCGTGAAAAACAGGGTAAGTGCAAAGGTGCCCAAGGATCCGAATGACATATGAGGGTCCGTCTGGTTCATCCCCAACTACATCCAAGCCTCCCATGGTCCAAAGTACTGTGGCATGAGCTTACAGGAAATCCCGTGCTCCTGTCCCAGTTCTGTAGCCTTGACCGAGACCCTGTCCCCTAACTGAAACATAGATGGGCAGCGGTGCTTGTTCTCAGATTCGATCATCGCCGCCTGTGCTCTGTGCATGTGTTCTACTGCCTGCTGCATATGACTCTCATATCTATAAGCGAATTCCGAAGTGCCTGGAGCAGCAGTAGGCTGGTTCTCAGGTAGCAGAAAGTCAAGGGGGGGTCTGGGTTTGAATGTGAGAAGTAGGCTATTAGGACTTACTCCCGTGGCACTATGAACTGCGTTGTTGTATAGACTGGCGATGAGAGCAAGCTTCTCATCCCAGTCCACTTGATTAGGCTTAATGTAATGCCTTAGCAAGTGTTGAACAGCGAGGTTCATTTGCTCTGCCTGTCCGTTTGCCTCTAGATGGTTTCCGGATGTCATCTGCAGCTGTGTTCCTTAAAGCAGCCCTAGCCTTCAGCAGTTCACTGGTGAATCGGACATCCCTGTCGCTGATTATAGACTTCGGCAGGCCAAAGTCTTTGACCCAGTTTTCCTTAAATAGCTTGATAACGTACTCAGTCTTTGCTGTCTCCGGCATGGCCACTAACCTAGCATACTTACTAAATCTATCCACGATGACGTAGATGTACCTGATGCCACTCTTGCTGGTGACTAGCGTATCCATGAAGTCCATGGACAGGCTTTCACCAGGCCTTTCCGGAATGGCAAGGGGCTTGAGCAGCCCAAGAGGAGCCTGTGTCCGGGGCTTGTCACGTTGACAAACTTGACAAGGCTCGACATACAGTTTGGCATCTCTGATCATCGTTGCCCACCAGAACCGCTGCAACAGATTGGCTGCAGTCTTCTTGAAACCAAAATGTCATGGCACTCTCCTAAAGATAAACTACGCAAAGACTCTCTATTAGGAACACACAATCGTTTATTCCTGGCCTTCTCAAGGAACAGCAGACCGTTGACCAACTCAAACTCGACAGAAGTCACCTTGTCCTTCGCCTCGAGTCTGCGCATGATCTCAAACATGAACTGGTGATCAGCGCACCGGAGAAG